CTGAGTGAGATAATTTGCTCACTAGGTGCCCAACATGGAACAATTGTGCTGCCTTGTCGAGGAATGTCACCCAATTGAGCTTGAGTTGAAACCAGGCTGGCGGGAGTGAAAACTGGTCATAAACCGGTACATTGGCATTGTCAAGCCAGTTTCATAGGGGGCCCCGGTTTCCACCTTGCGTCATAAGTTGGCTTCAACTTCCAGTGGCACGGTCTCTCACATAGATCAAATCTGATTGTATGGGCAAGTGTTTAACATTTGTGAGTCGCAGGGTCAAAGTCAAAAATTGAAATGACTCTTAGGTCGTCTGCTCTTTGACGTTCTTGTGAACCGTGGTGTGGGGTTGGATGGTGGACAAAGTCTTCACCTGTGAAATTGATGGAAGAACAAGGGAACCCTTGGTGTACATATTGTAGTTGTGGTGGAGATGACATTACATGTGGGGATGACTCATGTTATTTTTCTACAATTGTCTCATCTTTGTCAGTACTGAAGACTCCAAGTACGTATATACATCTTATATAACCATGAGTTTCATGCACCCTCTTCATCACCTTCTCTGCTCGCATTGTACCTATGCCAAAGTTGAACGCCAAAACCAACTTAAAGGTCCAATTGGGTATCGGATAGTATCGGTGTATCGCATTCCCTGTAAAAGTGGATGATGGCCTTTCTCTAAACTATTATATATTCAGAAGGGCGGGTCAGAAGGGCGGGTCATGGGGGGTGGGCTTTTGGGTTTTTTTTATATATTATACAAAATACACTATATTTATACTAAAGGGGGTGTCCACCAGGGCTTTTGGCGAAGGGAAAAGGGCTCTGCAACTCCAGACACGGACTTGCATCTCTCTAGCTTGCTGAGCCGAAGGTTGTCAAAGGGTGAAGGGGGCCCTGACATGGCCTGGGTGCATCTACGCCAAAGTTGAGGTACTACATGGTACTACGGAAGATCGACAATGGACAGAACATGCGGTGGGCCTGAAAACCCGTCAAACGCCCCCGAAAGATGTGCAAATTCCAAAACCAGTGAGATCGAACGAACTGCATGCACCTATAAATTAGGCAATGCCAAGATGTGATCTCCGAAGTTAGTGTCATACTTGGATGTTACCACCACTCAAACAAATAACCTCTATTGCTTGACAAGAAGAGAGATGGTGCACAACCGTAGGGATTAGACATGGACCTTAGAGATATCGGAGGGGTCTAGAAGTCATCCCTCACCTGTGACACGGGACTCGAAGTTGATCGTTGGACCGTCAAAGTGTTCTCCTGGACAATCAAGGTAGCCAGCCCCATCCCAAACATGTCTGGCCTTTGGACTTCTTGATGATCAGGCGGCCGGTTGGGGAAGGAGCCAAGCTGCGAATGAATGTGGAAGGAGCCAAGCAGTCATCTGCATGGTAAGAGATCTCCCAAATCATCATGGTTGCACAATCTGAATGCCTTGCATGCTCCGTGTGGCGGCCACACCAGTCCAACCCAGTGGTTCACATCCACCAAAGCACGAGATCAATGGCGGCTGTGAAGTCCTCCCATCCCATACTCTCTGTTTTCACGTAGCTGGCCCAGTCGGCCACACCAGGATTTCGTGGGAGCTAATGTATATATATATATATACATGCATAAACGAACAGGGAGAACTTTCAGTGCAGAAACAGGAACATCTTGATCTGGATGTTGATCATGGCCGCCATGTGTTGGAGCGAAAACAAAAGAAGTGCCTCACCCACAAGTATGCAGCCAATCATGATTTCATGCTCCTCTACAAACTGGGTTGATCATAATTTGGAATACACGGTTTCGAGCAAAAAACATGCTTGCATAATAATTACTTACTGCAGGTACATAGTCTGAACAATGTATGTAGCAAGTGGCAGTGGCTCAGGACCAAAAACAAACATGAAGAACATCCCAGGCCAAGGCAGTCCAAGGATTTTAGGCACCTGGTGTATTCTAGGTGTACTTTCAAATGCAGTGTACAAGTATTGTAGAGGCCACAACCGGGCAAAAGCAAAAGACCCGTAACAAACCTGCGATTTCGAAGGAGGTTCTTCTCCTCGAATTGAAACGAGCGCCTTTTTCGCCAACCAGCAAAGCAGATTTGCTCAACTGACTAAGTAAGCACGTCTTATTCGGAGCAAATGCCACCGAACTTTGTACTTCTGGCAAGGCGTTGGTGCGACGAACTTGAGCGTGGCGCCAACGCCGATTACGCACATCAGGGTCTTACAACTGACACAGCCTGCACGCTTCCAGAGCGGCCCGACCATGGAATTCATAAGCTTGTCAGGGGTGCTTTCTCCTGGACCTATATAGAAATAATAACATGCAAAACACATCCAAAAAAAACAAAAAAACAAGGGTACACAATAGTGAACTCAAAATCGTTGCCGCTTAGGCCAGTTCTGCTATCGACTTTGCCCGGGAAATGTTGTCTTTTTTCGGGTGTCTAATCTGTAGGTTTGTTGGTTGAGGAGAGCACATGAGTTGATAGAACATGATTGAACATGATAGAACTCTTCAACCCCTGGAGGTTCTTTATCACAGCAGGTCAGAATGTTGTGGACTTACAAGCACCAGGGACCAAGGCTCATTGGATGACGACCATAATCTATCCTGTCAATCCATATTGACTAGTTTTACAGCAAACACGTGCAATAAAACAGCACCTACTGCATTTCCAAGGTGGGGTGGTTTGATCTGGCTTGTAGACGAAATGCGGCACCATTTCTTCCACCAAGCCCTTAAAAAGTACAATCAATACGCATGACCCTGCAATGGAACCCCTGGAATGAAGTATTTGGTTGATGCTGAACCACAACCCCCAGTGCCCCCCCTTTGTTACACGGAGTTACCACGAATCGAATGGTTGCGGCGTTGGCTTGTTTCACCTGTGAGAACATTGCGTCTCCGACTTTGTTCTAGTCGGTTCTGATGTGATGCGACTGATGGCGTACTTTCTCTCAAGAGACCTGCTGCTTGAAGGCTGATGGGCTGCCACCAGCAGCAGCAAACCTGCTGTTAAAGGAAAACAAACAACCTATATTATATGCCTATGCATTCTAGATGCAGCTCTCTTGCTTCATATGACATAACTGGCGTCCACCCACCTGCCCACGCACCCGCCCCCCCTGCCTATGCGGCGCGGATGCCGGTGGACCACCCGCGCTGCGTGCCACGCAGCGCGCCCGCGCGGGCGTTCTCCCAGCCAGCAGCTCGGCGCACGGTGGAGCTGCCGAAGGAGCTGCCTGACAGCGATCAGCGGTGAAAACTCCCCCGAAGGTCAACCAACCATTCCCACCTGTTCATTGTCATCTATAGGGAAAGGAAAACCCTCTCCAACAAGATCAATGAAAGTCAAGCGTCAAGAACAAACTGGAGTACAGTATGGGTTTGATCTTCCGGCGTTCTGTTTGTGGGGTCCGATTTGTCTTGTGTTGGCTGATTCTTGCTTTTTGACTCAAGGCATATGGCCTATAGCCCAACTCCGAAGCTACCAAGGCATATGGCTCAACTCCATTGAAGGGTTGTTTTGCTTACTGAGAACGAGGACAAAAAGCAACTGTTCCCCCCAGACGAAAAACGGATTAACACGGCAAGGAACTGTCAGAGTCGAAATCAGACTGATGAAGAGTCGAATGAAGAACTCCAAGTACAAACGTCCTAGTGAAGCAGTCCTGCACGACCCTCCATAAACGGCTGCAGGCGCGTGCTTGCAAACCGCTCTATCAATCCAGTATGTACTGAGTTTCTTCCTATCTACTGCAGAACGCAATAGTTGGTCTCTGCGTGTCTCTGCTGGCCTTTGCCGCGGCCTTTGCCTTTCGCGCCCTTCATGTCGGCCTGAAGATTCTGGGATTGTGGTGAGTGGCGAGCGGACAAATACTGATACCAAACTATATACTGATATCATCCCCATGTTTTGCACATGTTCATGGCAGGGTGGACCGAAATACCCGCCACGTTTCAATCCTTTTATAACCAGCGAACAGAAACTACTACTGCGATCAAGACTATATTTCTCTAATTCTCCAGTCAGTCAGTCGCTCAGAACACTACGCTATACTTCGGTGCATTACACTTCAATACATCCGAATCGCCACACCTCCGCAATGAAAACCGTATCACTCTGTATCACCTATCACCAATCTGTAAAAATATCCGTTGTGGTGATCCGAATCAATCCGTACCAATCAGAGGAAAAAACGGATCACCACCGTCGATCACCGATCACCACCTCTTCACCTCGCCCCGAAAACCAGGGCAGGGCTGTCAGGGGTTCCTCACATCATCTCACATCTCTGGAACGCTGCGCTGTTGAAACTTCCCATCGGCTGCGCCCAAGCTAAATGACCTGGTAACAGTCACGAAATACGTTGGAATCTATATGGCAATATGTTTGCTTTATCAGTTGCACCTTTGCCAGTGAGGTACCATTTACCATCCTCTGCGCAGCACGCATGATGACCAATCGCAAGTTCGTGGGCCAGTTGCAACTCATTCACAAACTGAAAAGGCTCAATACACACGCATTCTGTGGTACTGTGGCTCCCTCTTATACCCCAACAGAATCCGCTATAGTCTAGCTGGTTAGAATACTCGGCTCTCGCCCGAGCGACCCGGGTTCGAGTCCCGGTGGCGGAATTTATTAAATGTGCGACCTGTCTGGTAAACTGCGCAAAGCATTTCTGGGACTCGAACCCGGGTCGCTCGCGAGAGCCGAGTAGAATATCTTCATTCTGGAAGTGAGCATTTTCCCATAAGAACACCGAATATTACTTGCGTACTGAGTCTTTGATGCATCGGCTCAGAATATCACGTCCCTGATGCATCGGCCTTCATGTCAAAGCCCTTACCAAGGCGGCCCTTTCCTTTGGCCTCCGTTGCGAGGCCCGGCTGTGCCCGGGCCCCGTCCTGTGGCTCTGGCGGTGTGGTTCTAAGCTGAGACAGCGCATGTGCGTCATCGTTGCACAGGCTGAAGCTCTCAAGCCCAGGACAAGGACAACATGGCAAAGTAACTCTATGATGTTGAATGATGTAGTAGATGTTATCATGGAGAACAAAACTCTTCTGCAAACAAGCAAACCGGTAAGGGAGGGCCGGTAGAAGTTTACACAAGCTCCTGGGGGGACTTTCGACCTAGGCCGGCTTGCGAACTTAGGATCTACATGGATCTACGTTTCTTATTCTCACGATGGTGGCCTTGTTCACCCTCTTCATCATTCGTCAAGAACTCCAGAAAGCAATCAAGTGCATGAGGATTAACAAAAACATATGTTGCTTTCATACTTTACCAACACATGTCAGAAGAGCCATCACACATAACAACATTCTTTTAGAGTTTGCATGGAACAAACCATTCTGGTCGGCAGTTGTCGGACATGGGGGCCATGCACCACTCAATCTTATCACTTACTTCTTTTGGGGGGCCTTCCACCAGCGATCACCAGGGCCCACGATGGCTCATAAGCCCTTCGGACGGGACAGGCTCCTTGAAGGCAAACCCGCCACTCTTCAGATCCACCAGCCGCTCATTGTTCTCCACCGCCTACACACCAACCAAACCCGGGAGGTGTCAAAGACTACTTGACTCGGTTTCAAAACAAAGAGGATGTGGGGCTGTGGGGCTGTGGGCGTTTGTCTTTCCAGAAAAAAATCTGGGTTGGTCCAGCCCTCCATTAGCTCGGAGGGCGAGTTGATGGAACTATCCTGCAATGGCTGGTCTGTCTGGGCCAGGGTATTTTACTGAATGACCGATTGTAATGATGTCTTAATGATCCATTATATATATATATATACACACAATATTTTTAATCACCAAATGTGAGCAATGGACATGATAGTGGACATGATTTGCTGCTAAACATAAGAGCCCTAACGGCCTTACCTTGCAGACAAGCTTTGGAGCAAGTCCAATGGTGTCATATGTGAATGGCTTTATTTGGGTGTTGGTTGTGGCGATGTCACCTGGGTCAATCCTTTAAACTTTTAGCCTCCATGCTTATATAGTTTCAACAATGCCTCAGCTATCATCAGCTGAGGTATCTTGTCTTGCTTTTTGAAGGGGTCCTATCTCATAGCATGCCGATTCTGACTGCTACTGAACAGGGAACTTTCACTCAAACAACCGCGATACAAAAACATGGTACAACACAACACAGAGGTCACACGTTGTATTTTTCACCAAATAGATCACTACGGCATACTACGGCAACGAACTCAGTGACCAACTCAATGGTCAAAGGTTGCCCTATGATTGGTATAAGCTGCTACGAAGCCGTTTCCTACCAGGCAGCACCTCTGTTTGGATTCTTTCCGGAACTCTCCAACCAGCCAGCTTGCTGCGCCTGCACCGCACGTTCTGCTAGTGTGATGGCCAGGCCTGAGCGAGTCCAAAGGGATCTTCGGTGAACCGTGGATTCTCGATCAACCAAACTGTTCACACCGCGCGCAGGCACAAGTGCAGTTGCCCGTCGGCGACGTCCCTTCGGGGCTCCAAGCGTTGCAGCGGCGTGGGCTCCACGTGTTGCACCAGGACGTACTTGGAAGACTCGTCCCAGAAGGCGGTGATTTCCTCCTGTTTCGGGCGCAGGTCTCGTTGCGACGAGTGCGGAGTGGTTGTCGAGTAGTGAAAAAATGAAGTTGTCGCTTCAGTGGTCCATGTAGATGGAGAGGGCCAAAGCAAAATGCCTGAGAGGGAAGAAGCCACAAATTAAGAAATATACTTACATGCATACTTTACATAATATGATATGTAATGATATGTATATGATCGATATGATTATGTATGACATATTATGATTATATCAGTGACTTATACAGGGATATATAATCATACATGACTATAAATCCTACTCTGACTGTATGTTTGGTTCTGGCTCTCTTCCAAGCGGCCTTGCTTTTCGGTCCGGCACTCCCCCCTTGATCCGCACGTACTTTGTTGTGTCGGCAATCCTTGATCATCATCTTCGAGATGGTGGAGTGCACGGTGCGCTCGTCTAAGCTAAACATCTGGACCAATTGATCCAGGTGGAAGGCGTCATAGATGGATGCGTAGGAGAAGAGATACGTTCCTGAGCTTCTTTGGGGGGCTGCGATCCTGGAACACCGCCGAGATGTTTTGGCGAATGCGGTGTATTGAGTTGAATGATTGACTGGATGGAGAGAGCGTCTACTGATGCTGTATTTTCTTGCTGGCCCACAACATGCCCCTTACAAGCTCTTAAGCTCGGAAGACCGTAACCCTGTGATACCGCCTTCATCTTTTGTGGGGAATAGTCTCTGCCCACAAGAGTCCCAAAAAAAGATGGACAACGAAGCCCAATCGTTGATCTAATCTCTAGCTTGGGCAACGGTCAGGACTTGGCAGGAAAGCTTCGTAGCGCTTCCACCTTCATCTTCTCAGTGATCATGGCCTTCACCTGCCAGCTGGACCCAAGGATGAGGATGGACAAGGAGGAGAAGGAGGAAAAGGAGGAGAAGGATGACAATGAACATGATGGGCCACCAAACCCACCCAAAGAAAAAACAAAGCAGATCAGCATACAAAACTGTTGCTGGCTGTTCGATTGATCCTCTCGTGAATTCACACAATTATTAATTCAAACTATGGATACATTTTCTTTCCACAACAAACAAATCAGAAGCAACAAACAATACACATTAGGGGGCCACCAATCACTCTGGGGCAAACCAATCGACCCACACCAGTCTAGTCCGAAAGATCACTGCCTTTCGGACCCAATGGACTCTTCGACTCAACTGGAAAAAAGCCACCAAGCAGCAACAGGCAGCCCCGATGGGCCCCGATGGGCCCCAACTCCTGTGGCCGTGCCTTCTCCCCGTTCTCTGGGTGGTTGGTGTCCTTGGGAACATGGTGCATGTTCCCCAAGTTTTGAGCCACAGAATATGAGTGGTGGTTCTGCTGAAGGAAAGCATCCTGCACCGATCTACATCTGCTGAGATAGAGAATCCCCTCTGAGTCAAAGTATTAAGAGCCGTAGGACTAATTTGATCCAAACAGGGAAGCGTGTGGGCAAAATGGCAGCCTGGAGCGTGGATGGGTGAGCTGTCCCGATGGTCTAGATTCCGATGTTCATCTTGAGGCATGCAAATATGACATGTCATGGGAATGCCTTCCATGTGGTGACCAATGTACTGTATACTGCAGTTCCAGGCTTGTGAGACTTTATCAATCACCTTGGCACCTTCTCTGGAATTGCTCCTGAAAGCCGGTGGAGCAAACAGCGTCCGTTGACTCTTAAGTTTTCATACATCCAACACTCAGCAACACCTGCGGCCTATTGGCAATATCAATACATTGCCAAAAAGAACAGCGATTTGATGTTGAAATTCACACCGCATCTTGGTAGAGGAGCAGGTTGTGGCTTGCTTTGCCAAACTGCTGCATGCAGCACACATCAAACCAAGCAGAAACAAAAGGAAACAAACGCCCTGCTCCGAGAGTAGGCCCACCCCACCCGAGTCCAAATCCAAGTCTCGATGTGGTGCCACAGCTGGAGTCCCTCCAGTTGGGCGCAGGCCTTCGATGGGCCAACCCGCCAACCGGTCTGTCGTCCGACCGAGTCGCATCTGTTGAAACAATCTTCACTTTTTCAGTACCTATGTCACATGAAGAAAGTGCCCCTACACTCCCGTTGGGATCTACACTCCTGCTAGCTGCTGGGATCACTTGAACGCTTAGCTTCTAACATGGAAACCTCAGAGCTCTGCGCGCAGTCGGCACTCGCACCTTGGCCCAGTCGCCCCGCTGCAGATCCTTCGCCGCAGCCACCACGGAGTCCTGCCGATTTCGTCTTTGACACACCAGCGATGTTCAGTCTTTAGGCCCCATCTCTCTATAACACGACTAAATTAACAAAAACATACATTATCTGACTAAATCTATGACATTATATGAAAAAAATATACTATAGATGACTATAGTGGCTACTTGTGTAGTGTCTATAGTCTGGATCAATGGGACGCCTACTGAAAACATGTTTGTTTGGATCTTTTCGTTCTCCTCCAGTGCGACCAAACGTGTTCACGATCTTCAACTGGACGTTCAATCTTTAAGCTATTGTTGGGAATCTTCTCGCATCTATCTATTTGGGATCACTGAAAAGAACTTGGGATTCCAAACAAAACAACAAACACTCGGTGTTCTTTTTCTCCAAAAACTCACTTGGAGATCCTTCGACTGTTTATAGCTCATAGTCAGTGGCAGTGGTAGGATAAAACATGCACACAAGTAAGCCGATATTGGGGAATGCCCTGTCAACAAAAAAACACTCTCACAATAACACTGACTGTGCCAACGACCACCGGCAGCCCCACCAAACTAGAACTCAAAAGCTTTAACTCCAAGTATATCACCACTGCAATCAGCAAGCAACTATTGACATCTTCAAGTTGTTTTCAAACAGCTCGAGGCCAACCCCACAATCTCCTTTGCAGTCTCCGGCGGCCCTGTGTACTGCTGCTTGTCGTAAGCTTCCAAAGCCCGCCTGCTCCGCTTAAAAACAAAATCTTATAATCAGGCTAGACTAAATACCTAGTAACCTAGTATATCCTAGTAATTACTGTATTAGGTCAGCCTGGACACCAGATTTGCACAACAAATACATAGTCGCAAGCCTGATTCACCAAGAGGCTTCATCTTTCAAACCATTTCTTCAGGTTCCACGAGTTTCCTTCAGTTTCCTTGAAATTCAAGACATCCTAGGGCCCCAACAAAATGCATGGCATATCTGAAGGGAATCGATAGCAATTCAAGGCGTTTTTGAGATACATTCAAACAATTGGCAATCTGAATTCCCAGTAACCATGTCAGGTCTACCGACGTCTACACTTCAGTGCATCAAATGGATTCTAGTTTTTGATCTCGGTAGTTCGAAACTGCAGCTGGATCCAAACAGTACATCACGCGTCATACGATCCATCAACTCGGTGGTTGGTGGTTTGGTGCAATGAGGTGGGGTTGACAGGAGGACGACCCTGAATGTCCCTGAATGCAAGAGCAACCTCGTCCTGGGAGGCAACATCATCTTGTACAAGCCAATAGTAGTTGAGCTTCACTCTAGCTGGCAGGCCAATAGAAATGGTCGATCTCAGATATGTATATATATATATAATTCTAATTCCCTGCAACGTCGGATTCAACTTCCCCAACATGGTCTCAGACTGGTGAACCTGTGAGGTTGAGGGGAAAACCATGTAGATCCATAATTTGTTGAAACATGTTGAACATATTCTTATCATGTCTTATCACACCCTTTTTGTAGAGCACCCCATGTCTTGGCCCCTCTTTCTGACTCCTCTAGTTAGCCCAAATCACTGACCTGGGCTTCACTCATCCCATTTGACCAAATCCCCCTGCGACGCCGGGCACCTCAGGACCTTGGAGATGACGCGCTTGTTGCTGGGATCGATGGCCTTGCGTCGGAGGCCTTTTCGTCCGCTGTCCGAGTGAAATTGGATGCTTCGGTGATTGTTTGTGCGCCTGGAATTCCAGTGAAGCATCCAGGTTGCAGACTTGGTCGGCTGAACTTGTGACCTTTTGGGGCTGGAACCTCAATCGTACTACCTACCTGCTTGGGTACAGTTTTGGAACCTATGGCAACAGCAAGTCAAATATGTAGTGTTGTTTGCCCACTGTTGCAAGGTAGGGGTAGACTCCCAAGCTGGCCTCCAACTTGGTAGACTTGCCTTGTATATCAAATATACACGTGGGGGTCTGCAGTTGCAAGATTAATTATGCTTCATCTGTTTCACTCAATAGTGACTACAGACCTGTGTGTCACCTGCGTGGAATTGGGGCAATGCAGCAGCTGGCTGTGCGAAAGGAATTAAAACTGCAATCTTAGTTTGTAAGCCAGTCAAGTTAAATATTGCCACACACTGTGGGATACAGTGGGTAGAGTGGCTGTGACGCAGTGTCCAGCAAAAGTTTCGATGCTTTCATGAACAGTTTTCCGAAAAGTACACAGCAAGGAACATTTGTTGTCTGTCGTGCAGCTCCTCAACTGGACAAAGCCTCTGATACCCAAAGTCACAGCAGTTGGGGGTTCCCCTCCTATGTGACAAATCACCCCCCACGCAGTCATGCAGGTGACCAACAAACCGCATTGGGTGTCTGAGCATACCGCAAGATTTTCACCCATGGGGGGCCACCCATGGAGCGTTCTGACAAAACCCGTGCTGACAATGTCCCATGCTGACCATGTGGGACTGTGTCCATCCTCAATCGCACGAATACCCTATCAGTACACTGGCTTGAAAGATCATGGTAGCGATGGTTGAACCCGTTTTCGCCAAGGTCTGGGAGGTCCACCTGGCGCGGGTATTGGCGGGTACTGGGTAGGATGGATCGGTCCCGGCACCACAAAGCCTGCATCGCCATGTTGGGCACTTCCAATAGCATGGCGCAAATGTGCTGAGCGCTCTCCAGCACCTGGTGGATTGAAACTCATGATCCTTTCTTCCACACGGGAGAAAAAACATGGTAGGTATGACTCGAAATGTAGTTATTTGTTAAATGGTATATTATAATGGTGTGTAAATGTTTGTAACATAGTAGGCTTGACACTAGTAACATCTATCTGAGCCTAACTTCGATATGAGCGAGACGACCTTTTTTGTCCGTGTGAACCGCCGAAAGTGGGTCGATCGAAACGCGATCCAGGGTCCAACGTTTGGATAAGCTGAATGCACATGGCAAGCCCGAGTCGTTCGATACGGACACTCCCAACAGTTGCTCATGTAATCTCATGTATAATCCACCCGTTGGAGCATCTGGTAGGCAGAAATGCAAAGCCTCCAAAGATGTTGGTTTCTTCACACATCTGTAATTAGCCTTTCTCCGATTGCATCTCGGTTCCCCCGAAAAGGATCCCTTTCTGTTTAGTAAAGCTGCTAGTTGCTAGTTATTCTGTCTACTTAGAGAAATTCTGCAAAGAACTGGAAGGATGCGCTTTCTACTCCGCTACCTCCGCTACCGGTGATGCGAGACTGCCTCCAAGTTGATGTGCATGTGGTAAGGCAGCTGTCGCTGTCCTCAGCTGCGGTTGTTGCTCCGGCTGGGGATGAGCTCAAGACAAGACTCCAAAATGCAGAAAACATCCTTGTTGCGGCACTGATAGGTATGTTGAGACACCATCTCATTATACCCCATGTTCGATCTTGATCTTGTTTAGCATTCGTGGTAAGAAAACATATTGGGAGGGGTGCGTAGCTGTGGCTGAACAACCCATTACGTTAGTTTTGACCAACAACCAGTTGAGCTTTGGACCATCAACAGTGGGTTGGTTGGCATGGGCAAACATGCAAATGCCAACAGCCCAACATTCATGATGAGAAGGGTGCCTGAAGAAACACCGACCTAGTTGTTTTGGTTTTACATATCGGCACAGGAGGTGAACCCCAAATAGATAGAGGAGTCACATAGTACAATAGTGGCTTTCCTTCGAGTATTTGGGTATAACATGCATTGAGCTGTCCTCTTTCCAGCAATAGTCACAAGTCGAACAAAAACAGCACAAACATCCAACTGGAGATCCACAGAAGAGATAACTTCACTATCAACTCGAATCCTGGGTGGGGGAATATGACACTAGATTCACAACTGATGACACAACTACTTATAAGAAACCTTCGCTGACCATCATCGAGCTTATCAAAGAGACGCAGGTCTTGGTGAGTTCACACATCTTTACACCGTGCTTGGGTCCAAGAACCGCAGGTCCGTCGCCGTGTCCAGCGAACCTTGGCGCCAAGCGGCGTTCGGCTCTCTCTTGCTCTTGACTTCGCTCCATGTTCTTGGCATAGGAAAGCCCCTGTGCCAACAGCTCGCGGCCCTTATTGTACTGGCACACCTGAGAAAGAACTCCCAAAAGATCGAAGCAGTGGGAATAAATCAAGAAGCGAAGCCAACAAACAAACAATCACAGAATCAAACACTCAAACACAGCAACTAAACTATCCTGTAAATCTACCTAAAATGGACAGTCCAACAAGTAACAAGACCGCCAAAAGGACCACATATATACTCGGCGAACAGAAGCACACCGAGCTTGCCACTCTCATGCCTCAACAATCCAAGCCACATCCATGAGGCAGTTGTGCGCCTCCGTGATTTTGCCCAAACGGAAGGCGCTCAGCCCAATCTGCCCGATGACACCTGTCGCGTGCGCATGCGGCCAATCAGGGGCACCACCCATATCGGCAACAAGAAGGGAAGTACAAAGGTGGGGAAGCTCACGGAGGGGCAGCGGCTCATGTTGTTTCCAAGAGACCCTAGCAAAAAAGCCTGAACCAAGAAATTAAACTAGATGTAAGGGGTATTGTCTCGCCATTGGAGTAAAGCTTCTTGCTTTTCATGTTAATGGTGTTAAATTGTTTTAAAGATTCACCCTACCACGCCCAGCATCGCCCAGCCATGCACGCATCTGGGTGAGATCCAATTAGGAATACCATGGAATACCTTTTAGTTTAAATGCAAACAGTCTGGGACAATGGACCCACACTGTCCCACTTCGTGCCATCACCATATAATTAACAAACGTACAAAGACTTGGAGGGACAAACAAACCTTCCCACATCCACCGCATTCCACCACATTCCACACGAGATCTACATCCTCTCCACCAGTGTCCGACTCCATTCGCCGAGTGACGGTTGTACAAAATCTGCGTGTGAACATCGGACTCCGCTGCCTGGGTCGGCCCCCCATTCCCGGCCGTCACCGGGGGGGACAGCCAAAACCGCCCAATGAATAATATACCCCACGAAAAGGAGTCGAAAGGTTCAACTCCCAAATGGAGGTTTATACTGGTTTAATAATTTAATATGGTTTATAAATATTATATAGTTTTGCCAAACATGGTCTTTGGGATTTGAGCCAAATCTTGAGAAGGCTGTATAGGTTCAGCCAACAGGTTCAGGAAAGGTGATGAAAACGGGGGGCATCGAGGGAAATCCAATGGATTCCTCCACGGATTTGGTCTTGGGGACAGTGCACGGGATCTCTGCCTTTGTCCTTTTCCACACCCAGCTTCTTCTTTCGCTTCTTTACGTGCAAAATGTTAGAGAACTCATTCGGCTCAGGTTCAATACTTGAGAAAATTGGCTACCAAGAGGGCCATGTCAATCACGCAGATGAAACACCACCCCTAGCCACACTGTTGCTGGACAAGATCCGAGAGCATTGGCCAACCAAACAAGCCGGAGACCATACATATGACATATGGTATTCATTTCATGTCCAAATGGATATAGATTGGGTCTATCATGGTCTATCCTATTACCAGTAACAGTGGATGCTGATAGATGATGATGGTTGGTAAAGACCTCGCTCAAAAATAGTGGTCATTGTTTGTTTACTGACTGTTACAGGCAATAGGACAGACCCAAGATATAGCTTTTCGTGCAGTCGGATCATCCGTTTGGGGTGTTCTGGGATCCACAGACTGGGCCCGTCGGAGTGTGAATCCCCACTCTTCCTCCGCTCGAGTTCAAAAGGCTACATGTCACCACCCTGGACTCCACTTCCCGGACTTCATCAAACACCCTGAGTTGAAACTCCCGCAGGCTTGAAGACTTCTCACACATATCTGGTCTAAATCCAAAGACAACGTCTCAATTCGATTTGGGGTTTCTCCAGTGGCTTCGCTTTTCGATTATATAACGTTTTCTTGTCGGAGCTCTAGTGCCAGACTACGTGTCCCGAAGAAGCAAGAACGTCAACCTCTATCAACAATTGGTCTGTGGAGGGTGGCTTCATTCCCCTTGATGAAAGCTGCTGACCTGTCAACTAGTGGCTGCCCACTTCGTTTGGACCCACAAAAACAAAACATCTTATGGTGCTGCGAGCTATAAGTCTATAAGTTGATAAGTCTATAAGTTATAAGTTCATAAGGCACTTCAAGCACTACCAGTACGAACACCGATATTGCTCGTTGTTCTCCCGCGGCCTGTTCTTGGAAATTTCCCAAGTGGAGCAAATCACGGGCAGGCCTTGGCTGGCACCGCATGACATCGCAACGCTGCACTGGTGAATGGGGAAAGTGAGTATACCTGTTGAGGAAGGATGCCGATTTACAAAGAGAAAGTGATCCTTTAAATCTATGCAGTTACATCCATTTACCAGTGGTTGAAAGTAAAATAAAGTAAGTATATATACCGTATACCAGTTGAGGAAGAATGCCGACAAAAAAGGTGGTCCTTCAAATCTATGCACTTACATCATGTTACATCCATTTACCGGTGACCGAAGACCTGAAGGTAGAAAATGTAACCTGCATGTTGGAAGTGGCCCGTCTCGAGTTCCGCCGTGTTTTCATGTCTTCCCAGTCTGGGCCAGTGCAGGGACTGACCGACTCTCTCTTATACACTCGTCCACATGTGCTGAACCCTGCAGATCCTTCATATGGGAAAACACCGAACCCTGCTTGTCCGGAATCCCCTTGTGGCAAGCTTTTGGCTGAGATGCTGGAAGCAATCGTGCAAGGCCAAGTGATAGGCCTTGAGGGCCGAAGGAACTTCTCGGTTAAACGATGCAACCTTGCATCTCTGCTACCATCAGTGGTATTAGCCAACAAACTAAATGCTTGGGGAATGTTTGTGTGCTTATGGCTTGCCGGTCCCCCTGCAAGCTTGAAAACATCACACCTTGATAGAATTTCCAAGAGACTGGAGAAGGATGGCATGATGAGTACGGCTATTTCATCCACTCGTTCCATCTAATCTTGAGGCCACTCACTTTATGTTCCAAAACTCCTTGGACTGAGTACTGGATATAGTATCCAATGCCGTGATCACAGGATGTCTTTTGTTTGCTTCCTTTTCGTTTGCCATTGGCTCATGCCATCACAGGATGTGAGGCGAGGTCAACATTCTGAGGATTTTGTTTAGCAGAAACTACAAGATGGTCATCTGGGCAGGTACTTCACTGTCAATGCTTGATTTGGGATCTACAATCTTTTTCCCAACAGCTACGATTGTGTTCGATGTGGAATCTTTGGATACGTTGCTATTATGTGTGTTTGTATGTATTTTGTAGTATTCCCTGTGAGTCTTTCCTGGTAATTCAATTCAGCCCGTGGTGAAGGAACCCGGTAGGTGCGGAACTAGAGTTTCTCTCAGAAAGGGGAAGTACGTACAAAGAAGCGACACATAGAACAAACAGAGCCACCCCCCTCTGACGGTCTCCGAGGAAACGCCTGGCAAAGGCAGGCCCGTCGCCGCAAACGAACGTCTCCCGTTGCCCAGACCTGGACAGCACCGCACGGGCGGCAGGGGCGGCAGGGGCGGCCGGAAGTCTGGGGCTCTCTGTACCTGGCTGAAAAATAACGAAACCATCGGATCTAGAATATCCAGAGACGTCAAAACTAAACTGACCCAAGTTAGGCTTACTATCAGGCCTTCAAAAGGTGAACACACAAATGCTGATGGTGAGTGGACCGATGTGGATGATGAAATGGTGATGATGATGAGGAGGAGGATGAAGAAGATGATGATGAAGAATATGATGATGATGAGGATGAGGATGAGGATGAGGATGAGGTTGATGATGATGATGAGGATGAGGATGATGATGAGGATGATGACGAGAATGAGGATGATGATGAGGATGATGATGAGGATGATGACGAAAATGAGGATGATGATGAGGGTGATGACGAACATGAGGATGATGACGAGGATGAGGATGAGGATGATGATGATGAGGAGGAGGAGGAGGGGGATGATGATGATGAGGATGATGATGATGATGAGGAGGAGGAGGAGG